TAATAAACTTATCTGGGGTCAGAGACAGAACAGCCACAATATTAAACATAGAAGTTAAGCAGTGGTAGCACATGCCTTTAATCCTACCATCCCAGAAGCAGAAATCCATGTGTTCAAGGATACAGCTAAGCATGGTGACTCACACCTTTAATCCCAGAAAGTGAGCCTTTGATCTCAGGGAGTGATGGTAGAAAGCAGAAAGGTATATAAGGCGTGAGGACCAGAAACTAGAAGCATTTGGCTGGTTAAGCGTTTCGCTGGTTAAGCTTTTAGGTTTTGAGCAGCAGTTCAGCTGAGAGCCATTCAGATATGAGGAACAGAGGCTTCCAGTCTGAGGAAACAAGATCAGCTGAGAAGCTGGCCAGGTGAGGTTAGCTGTGGCTTGTTCCATCTCGCTGATCTTCCAGTGTTTGCCCGGGCCAGCAGGGTCTCAACCGGGGTGACCCACCTGTGGGAGAGAATGAAAGGGACAGGAGACACAAAGAAAGACAGCAAGACAGGGTTCTGATCAAGCTGCAAATTTTGTTTTCCTTAGCAAGGCTTATATAGCATGGGAGGGGGGAGAGGGCAGGAAGGAGAGTAGGGGTGCAGGATATGCAGTTGAGGGGGGACTGCAGGTGAAGGGGGATGTGCAGGTCATGAGGCTGCAGGATTTTGTGCTAGGTGATAAGGTCACTGGTCAGGGCCCATTGTTCTGTTGCTATGCTACCTGACCACAGGATGTTCTTTTTCTTTGGGGGCATCTGGTTTAGGGCCTGTGGCTTATTCTCTGGCCCAGCTAGTACTTTTCCATGGTTCATGTTTGGTCCCTGACAAGTGTTCACCCCAATATCTGGTTCAGGTTTGATTTTATTAATAAGACTCTTTAAGATTCCTGCTACATCTCTTAGTCCTGGAATTTAAGGCATGAACCATCATGTATGGCATGATGTTTGATGTGTTTTTAATAGATGGAGGAGAAAGAATATATTCATAGGAAAGAATTTCTGTACTATGAACTTAACATAGTTAATCCTTCTATTTTCATATGAACTGTTATATGGATTCCAGTTCCCAATTACGAGTGACAGGGAAGTAATCCCTCATTTCCACAAGTATCCCAGAGATTCCTGTACATTAACCTAAGTTTAGACTTGGTTTTCTATCTTGCCAGGTGGAATAGAAGTGTATTTTATATTCTTCTGCTTTGATTGTGTTCAGCACTATCAGGCAGTCTGTTCAGTATACTCAAGAAGTAGTGATGTCCAGGAGGAGGACACGTTTCTCACAGAGACACTTCTGTGTGGACTCTGTGAGCATGGCTGCTGCTGGGAACCTCAACTTCCTCTAATACTGAAATGGCAGAGCCTTAAACACTTAGGAAGTGAATTCAAAAACAAATGAGGAGCAAAAGCTTGGGTTGGAACTCTACATTGTCAGTATGCTGGTGAAATGAAAAGCCCCACATCCTTCCTTGTTCATTGACAGAGACAGGAACTCAACAAAAATTTAAACTTGCCTTTGTGAGACATCAAGTAATTAATGAAAATCACAGTGTACCAGAGGATGCACCCAAACCTCCTCACCTCTCTAGGCACAGAAACTGCTCTATGATTAGAAGAAATATCCTGGCTGAACAAACTCTGAACTCTCTAGTCCCTCCTGTGTGGACTAAAGAAGTGGGAACTTGTTGAGTGTGGGTGGTGATTGAACCCCAAGCTTTCTACATGGTAGGAATCATTCTGCCAACTGAGCCATGTCCACAGCTATTGTCTTTTCCCCCTTTGCCTTTTCTTTTACTTTTTCTTTTTTTGATTTTTTGAGACAAAGTTTCTCTGTGTCATATCTATGGCTGTTCTAGAACTTGCTTTGTAGACCAAGCTAACCTCGAACTTACAGAAATCCACCTGCCTCTGACTCCCGCATGCTGGGATTAATGGCATGCACCAACACTGCCTGGCTGCCTTTTCTTTTTTCAACAGTTAATCTCAATGTGTATCCCACAGAGGCATGCAATCTATCTCGTTTTGGTCTCTTAAGTGCAGAATGGAGGGAACCACACTCAACCTGAGGGATTTTTCTCCTGGGGGCTGCACTGTTCAAGTTACCTCTGCCAGCCGTTCATCACAGCATCCTGACAGGTATATTGTCTATCTGCTGAGGCACCTCTGAGGCAGTTTTCAACAGCTAGGCATGTGGCTTCTCTGAGTGTACCCCCAACCCAATTCCAACATTGTAACCAGCCCTGCAGGATCTTCCCGGGTGTGTTTCCATGCTCCTGTATTTGAGGCAGGTGACCCTCCCTCCTTCCCATTCAAACGATGTTATTTCCCAGTAGTATTTTATTTCTCAATATGAAAAGGGGTATTTTAATGAAGGAATGAGACTTCCTGTGCAGTGTTTAGAAAACAAGCACTCGGTTCCCCACATATGAAATATTTCCAAGAGGCCTACTTTGTTCCTGGTGTACTGAATGTCCCAAGCAGATACCAGAAATAAAATGACTAAGGATAGCACTCTGGGTATTACTCCCAATGGCAGTACAGGGTTGAGAGAGGGTCTCAGCTGCAGAAATCCTTGAATCCTTCAATAACAGCAAAGGCAGAAGAAAGTGGCAGCCATCAGAAATGAAATGAACAAAAAACAGAGGTAAGACTAAAGAAAAAGAAGTCTATGAGCAGCCAGAGAAGGGGACCTAAAAGCTCTGGGTATCATAAGAGTTCAAATGCATGATCATGTCTCCTAGAACAAGAGTCTCACAGTCCAGGATGAAATCAGTAATGCTGGGAATGGGCACATGTGTGTGATAAATCCCATAAAGTTCCTGATCCATTGGGCTTCAGGAGAAATATAACACTAGAAGAAACCACTTGTCATTGTCCTTGCCTAGTCACTGTCCCTACTGGTGCTCCCCATCAGGTAAAACAGCAGAAGTTGCCAAAGAACAGCATTTGAAGAGTTTCTCCTTGTCTACCTATGGTTTTGGTCTGTTATGGAAAATGGGTCCTTGGCCATCTGAACCTTCATAGAACCGTGATTTACTCCACTTTTTAGAATCCTGTACATTACCTTCCAATAAAGAGACTCATCATTGCAGTACTCATCAGGTGGACACCCTCAGATAGGAAACTTCAAATTTAGACCTGTGGGGATATAGGAAAGACAAATTGCATAATGAAGAGGGAATGCTACTTCTTTACTAAGTAGTTAAATCACTGTGATGAAAACATCTCTTTTAGCCGATGCCATTGACTAACACATGCTTAGCATGTCTTGGCATTGACCAATGAGCGTGTGTGTATATAATCATCTCTTGTGCTGAGAAAATGGAGTAATGAGGGACACATAAGGGTTCCATCAACTCAAGATACTTCTTCCCTTGCTTCCATAGCTCTGGGTTTGCATGTGTGCCTACCAAGATTGATAGGGTTGGTGTAAGCATTGGGAAACTGTCCTACCCAATAAGACAACACCACTTTTATTTCTCCAGAAACAGAAGAGAAACAAACTAGGAGAAAGGGATATGAAAATTTGCCACTTTTCTCACATTAGTTTCCTCCTCCCTCTCTATTTACAACAATTTTGAGCCTGGAGTGAGTTAAATTGTCAACATCTTTATGACATGAATACAAACACTAGCCTCACACCACAGCGCTATCTTCTTCACACAGGCACAGTGCACAAAGCCAATGGTTCTACCAAATGAACAGACGGACTTGAGAACATTAAATGATAGGTCCTTTAAAACAAAGTAGAAATTCACACTTTTATGAGGGAAGGATTGAGAGTTTCATAGCCACAAAGTTAAGGGGCAGATTCTCTTTTGGCTATGGTTAAAAACTATTATCTCCTAGCAAGGGTGATTTTCCCATGATTTTAAACAGTATTTGTTTATTCAGTCATTTTAAAAAATAAACATTCATACGATGAATATATGAAAATCTACTGATGGGTACTTTAAAAACAATATATTTATTTAGAGAGAAGGGGAATATAGATAGATAGATAGATAGATAGATAGATAGATAGATAGATAGATAGATGATAGACAGACAGATGACAAACAATACTATTCTGTCATTCTGCTCATGTGAAGACAAAGAAACAAATTGGGAGAATGAAACTCTCTTTTCACCTAAGTAGCCATCTCAGTGTCCCTTCCCTGGTACTTTTCATGATCAACTTGAAGATTTGCCTTAGAGGGGTTTTGATGGTTCTAAAATTTAGAGAACAATGTATATCAAAGTACACTGTGAATGATTTGTGCAGACATTTGTTTCAAATGATGGATGCTCTTAATTAAAGCTAACCCTGGGAGAAAGATTATTGATGGAAGGACTGTTATCTGTCTAGCTGGAAGAAACTGCTTGCCCAGAGTAATAGACAGGAAAAGGCAAAAGTGAAGTTACTCTGCCATGCAGGTGAGTGAGTTCATAATGGAAACAACCACTGAATACTAAACATCACCAAGCAAGATTCCAGGGTGAGGTAATGAAACAGCGTGTTCCTTCTTGGCATTGTGCCTCTGAGAATCAATCTTGTGTTTCTCATGCATTTTTCTGTTGTAAAACTATGGGTTACTAGTGCTGTGTATGGCCCTGTGGACAGTCCAGGTTCTAGCATTTAATCAGTTATAGTAGTGTTCACACATATCTAAATATAACATTACAAGTGTCAAAATGAAATTTCCCAGGTACTTCAGAAGTTAACCTTCTAAATCCTAAAGTCTCAAAGACTTAATGAAAAACATTCCAATTAGATGAATTAACGTATACATTTCAATCTCTTGATCATTTTTAAATAAGAATTACTGAAAAGATGATGCAAAATGATGTGTACAGAACAGGATATACTAATGTTAATGTTTAAATTCATAATTGCTCTAAATGTTGCATTTCAGGACATATATGAATGCAACTACTCATTTAGAAATTATACCCAGACCTTTGGCTTTATTTCATATTTGATGGTGTTCAGAATATGCTATCTCAAAACCTGGTGACTAGTCATAGGAAGAATTTGAGCAGAAGAATGAATGTGAGGAAGGACTGTGCTTTTACCCTGAAGCTGCTCATAAAATCTAGAAAGGGCTTCCTGACATTTCCTGAAACAGGTCAGAAGCACCACATGTCCCTCTATGGAGGAAGGAAAGGAGCAGCGTCACATCTGAAGACTGATGAAGGCACACACAGGGGATACGAGCCAAAAGCCCTCACTATTTGCCATTCACCTGCTTGGCTCATAATGGTTTTATTTTGTCACACACTCTATAACATTCCACTTGCCATCAACTCCAGTACAAAATCTCAGGTCTCAGAACTTGTTGAGGGCTTTCCTTCCTTGGGAAGGATCTGGTGTTGTGAAAGTTTATACTAGGTAAGTCTCCATGCTTTTCTCCTCTCTGTCTGCTTTGTTATGGAGTCCCCAACAAGGGACTAAATGTGGGTAGAAGGAAAAAGTATTTTTCCTCCTGCATTTACTATTTTTCTTCCAAAACTCTTATTTGTCAAAGGAGAACAATGATAATGCTCTCCTTTTTAAAATAAAAGTCCTCTCCTCTTCAAAAATATCTATTAGAGCCAACAAACTAACAGTTTTATTCTGCCTTCTAAGGACAGCTTGGCAGAGTGGTAATTTGAATGGCACAGGCCCTCATCAGCTCATATGGAGTGGCATCATTAGGACGGTTGCTTTGTTGGAGGTTGGATGTCACTGCGGGGAGGGCTTTGAGGCCTCTTATGCTAAAGTCACTCCTGGTGTTTCAGAACACTTTTGCTGCCTGTGGGATCCAGATGTAGCTCCTTCTCTACTCCCAGCTCTTTCTCCAGCACCATGTCTGCCTGCATGCCTCCATGTCATGCCATGAGGACAATGAACTAAACCTCTGAAATTGTCAGCCACAGCTAATTAAAGGTTTTCCTTTATAAAAGTTGCTGTGGTTATGGTGTCTCTTCACAATAATAGAAACCCTAACTAAGACAGAAGGTATCCAAAATAATTAGAGCCCACAGGGAATAAGGAAACAGTAATGGATTCTTCTTATTTATTTATGTATTTTTTTAAATTTTATTTTATAATTTAATGTAATTTTACATATCAGCCACAGATTCCCTTGTCCTCCCCCCTCCCGTCCCCCTGCCTTCCCCCCAGCCTACCCCCCATTTCCATCTCCTCCAGGGCAAAGACTCCCCTGAGGACTGAGTTCAACCTGGTAGACTCAGTCCAGGCAGGTCCAGTCCCCTCCTCCCAGGCAGAGCCAAGTGTCCCTGCATAAGCCCCAGGCTACAAAAAGCCAGCTCATGCACTAAGGACAGGTCCAGGTCCCACTGCCTGGATGCCTCCCAAACAGTTCAAGCTAATCAACTGTCTCATTTATCGAGAGGGCCTGATCCACTTGGGGGCTCCTCAGCTATTGGTTCATAGTTTATGTGTTTCCATTCGTTTGGCTATTTGTCCCTGTGCTTTTTCCAATCTTGGTCTCAACAATTCTCGCTCATACAAACCCTCCTCTTTCATGAATTCTTCTTAAAATTAATTAACTGATTCAACACCATCCTAGTCTACAGAGTGAGTTCCAGGATAGGCTCCAAAGTTATACAAATAAATCTTGTCTTAAAAAACAAACAAACATGCCAGGCGGTGGTGGCGTACGCCTTTAATCCCAGCACTCGGGAGGCAGAGGCAGGCGGATCTCTGTGAGTTCGAAGCCAGCCTGGGCTACCAAGTGAGTTCCAGGAAAGGCGCAAAGCTACACAGAGAAACCCTGTCTTGAAAAACCAAACAAACAAAAACAAAACAAACACACACACACACACACACCAACAAAAAAAAACCTTAACAGAGTCACATGACTTCCTAATTGTTCATGTTTCAGTTAGGTTCCAGAGTACTTCACAGTCAAATATTTATTCATCAAAAGAAAGAAAATGAATGCCACTTAAGATTACCTTTTCCTGAACATGATGTAAACATTTGTGGAAATGCTCAATAATAATCACAGGCATTATGAAATTCTTCCTAAGAAAGGTAAAAAGAAGATAGTTAAAAGCATAAGTGAATGAACTGAGCCAGGATGACCATCTGGGTCTGCAGGAAAAAAAATCTTCTAGTCCAAAGTCAAAAATCTGAATTGTGGTGACAGTGACTGTCTCACACTTTTCTTTAAGAAGATAAAAGTTTGTATCAGATTTTTAATGCTATTGAACTGCAAACTTTTTAATAATACAGTTTTAAAATTCTTTCGGAATTTCATCTATGCATACAGTGTATTTTGATCCTTATTCCTCTGAACTGGGCCCTGATCCACTCCTCTAATCCCAACATTACTAAATCCATACCTTTTGTTTTGTTTTAAATCATCTATCTAGGGCAACACTGCATGCCCATCTGCTCATGTGTTAGAGCCATCGCTGAGTTTGTTCAAACCACCTGGCATCAGCACCCTAAAGTAAACTGACTCTTCCTCCTCCAAAAGCCATCCACTGTCACCAGCTTCTCAGTTAGGGGTGGGGGCAGTGAGCCCCTTTCTCTTCCATACTAGAATGTTGACCGCTTGACCTTGGAGCTCATGAGTGCAGTAGTCCTGTCCTGCCCAGAAGATACTGTTTTATTTCAAGTGTTGTAATATGCTACAAACATTTAAGAGACATCAATTTTTATATAAAATATGATTATGTGTTGGGAGGAATTGTGAAGAAAATGTTAGTGTTCTTATTTGACTGATTATATTCCCATGTGAGTTATAATTAAATTAATCAAGGCAGTACTGTATCATGAATCTGACTGTTGCTTTTTTTTTTTTTTTTGGTTTTTCGAGACAGGGTTTCTCTGTGTAGCTTTGCGCCTTTCCTGGAGCTCACTTGGTAGCCCAGGCTGGCCTCGAACTCACAGAGATCCGCCTGGCTCTGCCTCCCGAGTGCTGGGATTAAAGGCGTGCGACACCACTGCCCGGCCCGACTGTTGCTTTTTATACATGAAAATTATTGAGGTAATTTCTTCTGTCTACATAATTTCTAAAATGCAGAGCCAGAAGCTGAAGGTGACAAAAGACCACTGGAAACTGCGCTGAGGCTATATTCATACTCTTGATATTTCAGATAACCATGACTTGCATTTGGTGCTTGAAAGCTGGTCTGCCTGCTATTTGGGACATGACTGTCAGTTTGCCTCAGTTCTTCTCTTACACATTAACATAGAGAATTACAGTAGGTTTGGTGATGTAAACAGTGTGTTCACTCCAATGCTGAATGCTGCCATCTACAGCCCCATGAATAAGGGTAGAAAGGGAGCCCTGAGGTCATCCTCATCAGAACAGCATTGTTCTTGTTGTCAGCCTGAATTTAGAATTAAGTGGATAGTGCAGGCATCAAGATAATTGTGCCTATCAATATTCAGACCCTATTGGACTCCTGTCTGGATTGTTTTACTGATTTTCTTTCTCATGATTTTGTATGTATATACATTTATTGGTACATATATATATGTTTAACATATTTCTAACCAAAATCTGCTTCAGTAATTCTTCTCTATTTCTTTTTCCAGAAACATGGTCAATGATGTGCCATTTTTTCTTACAAGATTTCAGAGACTTGAACTTAATATACAACATCATATCAAATGTGGGCATGTTTTCTCAAAGAAGGATCCCATTGTACTATTTTTATACTCTGAGGACGATGTGTAATACCAATCACCAAAGCATTAGCAAATACTTTTCCCACACATTGTCAGACTTCCTCCTATATTTAATTTTCCTTATTCTGATTTTTCTCGATTAACATTCTGGAGTGTCCCATCTCATCCTGACCTTTCAACTGCAGGCACTTCTACATTTCATTCCATCAGCTTGCTGCATCTCCACTTTACTTAAAGGATTCCAGACTAGTCATTGAGTGGGAAGTCCTTGTACTCTGAGCTCAATGCTAGGAAACCCCCTGCTAAGTTTGCTGTCTTGATAAAAATAACATCCCCAAAGGCAAACATGATCATTCCATCACATTCTGGAAAGTATGAGATGATATCAGACATTGGTAGTCTTAAATCCTCCATTTCCCTCTGACTTTTCTCTAAAATATGTCCTTAAAAATTTGTCAAAGGGGATTTAGCTCAGTGGTAGAGTGCTTGCCTAGCAAGCACAAGGCCTTGGGCTTGGTTCTCAGCTCTGAGAATAAAAGTGATCTAAATGTAATCTTCAGAGTATCTAGCCTGTTAATATTTCTGGACCAGAAACTCTTGCCTCTCTCTATTATAACAATCCATATCACCATGCTAGAACCCAATCTGTTTTGTCTCAACCTCTCCATCATCTGCTGCAACAAGGATTCTTTATTCCTTTTCTAGAGTTCTACACAAACCCTGGAGCATTCATTCTGAAAGATTCTTGGGGGCCTAGAATGCCAGCGCCTCCTGGATAACTAGTATTTGTCCCACCTCACCTCACATATCAACATAAATAAAAAGTGGGACCACTGAGAGACAAGTGGAATGGAACTAAATTTGAGGGCTATTTCTGGAAACCAGAAGTCCTAGAATTGTCCAGAATTAAATGGCTACAGATGCTAAAAGGAAATTTCTGAGTTCTTCAACCATACCTAGTTCTCTGACCAATATGAGAAAAAAGGAAAAATGTCCTGAGTCCATCCTGCCTTCAGTGGACCCAATAACCACTGTAGTGTATGGCCTGAAAACTGTATATACTCCTAAGTGTCTGTCTGTGTGTCTGTCTCTCTGTCTGCCTATCTATCTATCTATCTATCTATCTATCTATCTATCTATCTATCTATCTATCTATCTATATTTTCATCACCTATCTCTATCCATTAATCCACCCATCCATCCATCTTCTCCTACAACTTCCTCTTTTATTTCTCCTTCTTCTTGATCTTCCCGTATTCATCCAGGATATTATAACCATTTTTGCCTCCCCAAGTTTTTACAGGGCCTTAAAAATGCTAATTACATCACAAAACATAAAAATGTTTCTCTGTAGGTTTTATTACCCATATTTTCCTACCCCAAGTCTTTGTAATCCCTATCTTCCCCAGAACTTGCTAAAATGTGACATTCCTTAGATCTCTGACACTGTGATACTAAAAATATTGTGTAAAAGAATGTTTGTTAAAAAATGCAAGTTGTGCTTAAAACAAGCCAAAAACCTACATCCAAAAACTTGATACTTTAATAACTTGCAAACACATCATCTTAGTTTGTTTCTTTATATGACAGATGTAATTTACATACAATGAATTCAATGAGTTGAAATATTCAGTGTTTATTAGTTCTCTCACAAGAAGTTTACAAAAAGGTTTTCTGACTAAATAAATTCTTGTCAAGAGGTAAAATCTGTAGAGTTTTCTAAATAGAAATGGAAAGTTGTACACAAAGCCAGAAAATAGAGTTAATCATAAGTCAGAAATTTTATGGAAGATAAAAAAATCAAGATCATATATGAAACTGCTGTATTCATTAAAATTCCTTAGGCCAAAATTCAGTACACTTGTATACAATTAGAGTTTAATTCTCTGTTTGGAATAAAAGTAATAGAAGATGCCACTTAGTTTCAACCTTTTATACAGAGAAAAGGAAAATCCATACTAGACCTTTCTTTTGAGAGCCTTAAAATGGCCTGCAAAAAGAGCCTGTCTTAGTCAGGGAGAATTCTGTCTCTCAACTGCTTGAATTACAAAAGACTTTCAAAAGATCAATGAAAGCCGGGCGGTCGTGGGCTACCAAGTGAGTCCCAGGAAAGGCGCAAAGCTACA